GAACCATGAATGAAACATAAAGAAAAGCCAGTAAATGGGTGCTCAGCATTACCAGAATAACTTCATTATGTAAGCATCTTGTGCAGTTATTATACTTGGTGGAAGGATTGAACAAGGTAACTTGTTTTCTTCTTTTATCTAAGCACTTCCACCATTCATATTCTCCTACACATTGCAACAGCCCATTCACAGCCCTTCAGGATAGCAGATACAGTCATCTTTTGTTTTGAAAACAAATAACAATATGTGAAGTGTTTCTATGGAACCTGAAAGGTGTTAGCTGAGAGAGTGATGTTTAGAGTTTAGGGCTTATGGGTTATGTTTACCAGCAATGAGCCCTGGATCTTGAGATACAAAGCATCGACATACTCTTTAAAATGCGTATATATAGGGGCACCTGGGTGGCTCAGTTGGTTAAGAGGCTGCCTTCAGCTCAGGTCATGATCCCAGAGTCCTGGGATCGAGCCCCACGTCGGGCTCCCTGCTCAGTGGAGAGCCTGCTTCTCCCTCTCCCTCTGCCTGCCTCTCTGCCTACTTGTGCTCTCTCTCTCTCCCTGTCAAATAAATAAATAAAATCTTAAAAAAAAAAAAATGCGTATATATAGGTAATATATAATGTATTATATATATGTATGTATATATGTATATATATTATGTAGGGTTAGTCTATATATAAATATAGAATTGCCCATGACAGAAAACCCTACTGCATGCTAAGTAAGTTTGGTTTTATGAACTTTCACCTCATCAGCTCAGGGCAGAGGAAAGAGAAAGATTGGTTTGTTACCAAAGAATGAGGCTTGGCAAAGTAGGAATGTATGAGGTTAAGGAAACAATAATTTCTGACAAGAAAGAAGGCATATATTTGAGATAGCAGAACACAGTGTGAAGGCAGAAGGAGTGTGATAAACTGCAGAAAAAGAGACTAGCATGTCAGCAGGGAACCCCACTTCCTGTCCTCGGTTCTTGAATTCGGCCCAGAAAGAATTCAGAGCCAAACTCTCAGTAAGCGAGCATTTACTAGCAGCCAAAACAAAAGGACACTTGAAAACAAAGGAAGGTGAAGCAGGCTATGAGACCGATAGAGATTGACACAGAGACAGAGTGAGAGAGAGAGAGCACAGGAGCCCCAAAATGTTGGCACTTCCACCTTTTTAGCTACAGTTTCTTTCTTGTTCCTTTGGTCCCACCCTTCCCTCCACCCTGTTTCTGTATTTAGTCTCCTTGGGGAGACTTCCCATCATACCTTGTGAAACTGGGGGTAGGAGGGTGAGGGGTACAGTGAGAGTGTGTGTGTGTGTGTGTGTGTATGTGTGTGTGTGAAACTGCAATGTAAATGTATTATAAAGAAGCCATGGGTCCTTTGAGGACAGTGGGTACAGGGAGTATGCATCTGCATTTCTCTCAGGGATTTCTCCAGCTATTTGTGCTCTGGAGGTAGTTGGTGGGTTCCGGCTTTTTCAACATTTGGAAAAACCCCTTCCCTGTTCATGTCTGGCTAACTGCCTACTCTATCAAGAAGACTGAAAATTCAAAGATTGATGAAGAGCAAGTTTGGGAGATACACTCAAAAAATGACTGTAGCCAGAAAGCAGAATTTTAGAATCTTACTTCTTGGTGATGAAATACATTTTATTGCAAATGAAGTTATATAATTTGGTAGGTAAAACAGTGTGGGGAATGATATGAAAATGTTGGGGTTTGGGAGCAAATGGTCCAGAAAGAATTCTTGAGGTGTCTTTAGTGCAAAAAAGGTGGTTTTATTGAAGCATGGGGACAGATCCTTGGGCACAAAGAGCTTAACTGGAGTTATGAGGAGTGGCTGATTATATACTTTCAAGATGGGAGGGGCTTAGGGATAGCATAAATCTCTAAGGAATTTGGAAGCAAGTTTCCAGGACCTTGAGGGGCTAGCTAGCTATTGTTAGGAAAGGTCATTTACTACTGTCTAATAAAATCTTAGTCATGAGACCCTTCAGGTGTATATTGGTGGATCATACTCTTGGGAATGATTGTCAACATATATCTTCAGGGGTAGGGATAAAAGAAGTTTCCAAAGGAATTTTTATGTGTTAAAGTAGACTTATAGGATCCTTGGGGTGGGGAGGGGTCGGGCTAAGATTCCCTTTTGCCCTTAGCAAAGTATTAACATCAAGGGGCACCTGGGTGGCTCAATCAGTTAAGCATCTGCCTTTGGCTCAGTCCTGGGATCATCCCACATTGGGCTCCCTGCTAGCGGGGAGCCTGCTTCTCCCTCTCCCTCTGCTGCTCCCGCTGCTTGTGCTCTCTCTGTCAAATAAATAAAATCTTTTTTAAAAAAGTATTAACATCAAGGCAGTTGAGTCCCTAGAGGAAGGTCGTTCTGCCTGTTTCAAGGAATTGCAAGCCACTTGTGGTGTCTCTTTTCAGTTTCAGATAAATTTGCTATAAAAAGAAGAGTTTAACTACTCTAGTAGCTTGGATCTGGATTATGTATAGATCCAGCTGAGGATTTTTTTAAAATTTAAATTCAATTAGCCAAAATATAGTACATCATTAGTTTCAGATGTAGAGCTCAGTTGCATATAACACCCAGTGCTCATCACATCTCGAGCCCTCCTTAATGCCCATCACCCAATTACCCCATGCCCCCACCCACCTTCCCTCCAGCAACCCTCAGTTTGCTTCCCAGAGTTGAGTCTCTCATAGTTTGTCTCCCTCTCTGATTTCTTCCCAGTTTTCCGTCCCTTCCCCATGATCCTCTGTGCTGTTTCTTATATTCCACATATGAGTGAAACTATATAATTGTATTTCTCTGATTGACTTATTTCACTTAGCATAATACCCTCCAATTCCATCCATGTCGATGTAAATGGTAAATATTCATCCTTTCTGATGGCTGAGTAATATTCCACTCGGTGTGTGCATATATACCACATCTTCAAAGCAGGAAAGAATATCCAATGGAAAAAAAGTCTCTTCAACAAATGGTGTTGGGAAAATTGGACAGCCACATGTAGAAGAATGAAACTGGACCATTTTCTTACACCATACACAAAGATAAATTCAAAATGGATCAAAGACCTAAATATGAGACAGGAATCCATCAAAATCCTAGAGGAGAACATAGGTAGCAAACTCTTCGACCTCGGTCGCAGGAACTTCTTGCTAGGCACGTCTCCAAAGGCAAAGGAAACAAAAGCAAAAATGAACTCTTGGGACTTCATCAAGGTAAAAACCTTGTGCACAGCAAAGAAAACAGCCAACAAAACTAAAAGACAACCTATGGAATGGGAGAAGATATTTGCCAATGACATATCAGATAAAAGGCTAGTATCCAAGATCTATAAAAAACTTATCAAACTCAACACCCAGAAAAACAAATAATCCAGTTAAGAAATGGGCAGAAGACATGAACAGACATTTCTCCAAAGAAGACATACAAATGACCAACAGACACATGAAAAAATGTTCAAATCACTTGGCATCGAGGAATACAAATCAAAACCACACTGAGATGCCACCATACACCAGTCAGAATGGCTAAAATTAACAAGTCAGGAAACGACAAATGTTGGTGAGGATGTGGAGAAAGGGGAACCTTCTTACACTCTTGGTGGGAATGTAAGCGGGTGCAGCCACTCTGGAAAACAGTATGGAGGTTCCTCAAGAAGTTAAAAATAAAGCTACCCTTAGACCCAGCTATTGCTCTACTAGGTATTTACCCTAAAGTTACAAATGTAGTGATTGGAAGGGACACCTGCACCCCAATGTTTATAGTAGCAATATCCACAACAGCTGAGACTTTTAAATGGAGCTTGATCTCCCATCCAGAGGGAGCCTGGTTGCTCACCCCAAAAGCTGAAAAAAGGGCCAGCTGCATTGGTGAAATTAAGTTAGACGCCTCTCCACCTCTACTTCCTTCCCCCCACCCACATTGGCTCAGGTGTCCTCTCAGGGCTCTCCTGTGGAGACAAGGGCGAGCAGGGGAGAAGTTGTAGACTGGTAGTCCCCGACTTCAGGGTGCATTAGAATTGCCTGCTCAAACACAGAATGCGCCCCGGTTTCAGATTCTGTAAGTCCAAAACGGGACAGCGCATCTGCGTGTTGATAAGGTTCACCTACGCCCCACTTTGTGGGCCACTGCTCCCAGGCTGAGTTAAGTTACTAGCTGTAGGGCACGTAGGGTAAAGGAAACTGGTCCTCCTCCTCCAGGATGTAGATTGGCCTTACTAGGCATTCCCTACAGGGGGAAAGGGATAGCCCCTATCTGTGTCCTCAGCACCTCGCACCGCGGGGGCTGCGGTTTGTGAACACGTGCTGAAGCGACCCAGAGAGAGGAGCTGTGGTCGCTGCGGAGAGGACACCCCTGCCTCCAACCCGGACCCTCGGGGGATGAGTCCCCTGCTGTGGCCCAGCGAGTGTGCCAGTGGCTCTGCTGCGCGGGGAAGGACGCCTGAAGGGGTCCCAGCGAAAGTAGAGGGCCGGAGGGGCAGGCGGCCCCGAGTCCGTTCTCGCGGTTAGCCGCGCAGGACCGCGGGGAACGGATGGCAAGCTGTCCGCACTCCACTGACGGCGCTCCACGACTATTAGCTGTCACGACCGATGCCAGAGCCAGCCTCCGGCTGACCAGAGGGGCAGAGAGGGCCAGCTGAGCTCACTGCAACGCCCGCACTCCGCTCTGCAGTGCCCGGGCTGCGGCCCCACAGAGGCCTGGCGGGGTTGCGAGTCTCCCAAGGGGTGGGCGTGGGGGCGGATCAGCGGAGGGGAGGGAGGGTACTGCGGGAAGGACGCGCTTGGCTGGGGGTGGAGGCCATTTTGCTGCGGGGGGGGGGGGGGGGTGCGGGTGTGAGGGAGGATCTGCCCCAGGCGGGTGGGGAGCAGGTCAGCGGAGACTGGGGCCCGTCGGGGGCGGGGTGGTGCACGGGGGTGGGGGCGGGCCAGTCTGCGGTGGGGGGAGGGCTCGGGGAGGTGGGAGGTTTTCTCCGGCCGAGGCTCTCCGGGGCGGAGCACAGAGCCGGTTTGTACCCCGCTCTGTCCGCCGCCTGGCGGCTGCTACCGACCCACCGCTGCCAAGTTGGCGGAGGAGCAGTCGGGCGCAGGGTGAGGTCGGGTAACCGCCTGCCCTTCCGGCCCTCTACTTTGGCTGGGACCCACTCAGGGCGCCCACTGGAGCGCCCACGCCCGCAACAGCCTCGGGACCTCCCCGCCCCGCCCGCACTGTGGCCTCTCCCAGCTCTGGGCCCACCCGGCAGCCCCGAACCGCGTCAACCCAGACGGCCCCTCGGGTTTCCTCACTTTCTGGAATTTATCTCTAGGCCCTCCGTTCAGGTTCCCTCGAGGTTCCGCTTTGTCCCTTCTGTCTTCTCCCCGGAAATCTTTGAGCGTCCTCTGATCTCAGTCGGTCTCCCGGACTCTTCACGCCCACAGTGAGGAGCTGAGTGGTGCCCAGGGGTCTGCCTCCTCTAATCCCAGGGCCCCATTCTGTTTTCCATCCTGTTTCCCTACAGAAAACTGTTGCTTTCTACCCTCCCAACTCTGCCTAAGGGAATACTCTTGAAGCCCGTGGTAAAGCTGAAGCTTATGAGGCGACGCAGATGTTTTACTGATTCTGGCAACTCCTGTGTTTGTTCGGAAAACATGAGCTGAGCTCTTGCTGCGATTCAGGGCCTGCTCTGGGTAGTGAGGACACAGCCACGCCCCATGCAGAGTGCTTCCCCCTCCTAGAAGCTGTGCAGCGCCCAGATGGTGCTAGGCCCAACTGGTTCTGCCTACCTCGGACTCAGAACTTTTGATACATGAAGGAAAGAGCATTTGCCCCCCGGTGAGCAGCATAAAGAAGATCACTGGCCACACAAACGCTGGGTGTGTTCTGGGAGCTAATTAGATGACATCCTACAGTAGCAGAGAAATAGAAAATTGGGTTGGGGATAGAAATTGGGACCCTGCTACAGAGAAAGTCCCTCTACATTCCAGCGAGTGTTCTCTGCTAAGCAGCAAATTATTAGGGTTCACTCCTTAGTAGTAGAAGGTCTCCCACAAATTTCCCAGAGGTTATCTTCTCTTCCGTGAAACTTACGGGACTGAGGCCAGATCTTCTCTAAAATGTAACTGGTGTCAGAAAATCCAGTTGCTATCAGGAGGCTCTTCGTTGCAGCTGCCCTCCCTCCAATCTGTCGTGAGTCCAGGTGGTGCAGAAGCCAAGGGACAGCCATGCAGAATCCTGCCTTCCAGTGAGGCCACGTCTGTGCTCCTCACCCACCTCCACAGGCAAGACCTCACTCAGCTCCCACCTCCTTCTCTGCCTCCAGGGTGTCTGACTTCAGTTCTATCCTCTCTGTTTAGCATGCTGACCTTCTTATTGAGACCTGTGGGCATCCTGTACCTGTCTTCAGGGTTACTGGTAATAGCTCAATTTGGAGGAGACTTCTCACCCAGGTATGTTTGGGAAGGGTTGGGAACTTTCTGTTTGCACTGGAGGAGAGCCTAGGGCCCCTGAAGGAAAGGCCTTTCTGATTTGCCCAAACCGTGTGCCACATGGGTTACATCTTTAGGACTTCACACATCTCCCTTGTCCTTGCAGGATGAATCAGGTTTTCTTGACTCCCTCCCGCATGGTGAATCGCAATGTGGGTCTGAAAGTTGAAGGCTCAAGCTTCACACTAGATGGCTCTCCTTTCCTGATCATAGCAGGTACTATTCACTATTTCCGGGTGCCCAGGGAGTACTGGAGGGACCGCTTGCTGAAGCTGAAGGCCTGTGGTTTCAACACCCTCACCACGTGAGTGCTGGCACCTACGTAATGAGTTCAAGAATTTATAGTCTGAATTTCTAGCTCAGACTTTATTAGACCAGTCTAGAGGTTGACCCTTTTAGTATTTTCTTCATTGTTCTTAGGATGTCCGAGTCTCCATTTGATATCTCCAGAATATCCATCCTGTGGATAGAGCCTGCACTGAGGGCTTTGAAAGGCCTCCCTCTAAACAGGGTCACGGTGGCCTGCATGCAAAAGTCTAACTTCCAGAGGCAGTGGCCAGTACAGATGGATGTAGGTCAGTGGTCCCTAACTACTCTCCTCCTTGGATATCCTCACTTGCTAGCCGAGTCATAGCCCCAGTGATGAGTCCTAGGAGAGAATACTGTCCTAGAAGATTTTGTCTTTGAAGAAAGGTTTCATTGAGAGCCAGGCCTGGCAAGTAATAAAATTATCCTCATTCTACAAGCTGAAATTAACAAAAATTAGTAATTTCTTTCTAGGCTTCAAAACTTGGAAACTGCTTATCCATTATTGTTTTGATACCAGTTTTAGCTGTGTTCTCTTTTTGAGTGGTTGGGTTTTTTTTGTTTTTTTGTTTTTTTTTTTAAAGATTTTATTTATTTATTTGGGAGAGAAAGAATGAGACAGAGAGAGCATGAGAGGGAGGAGGGTCAGAGGGAGAAACAGACTCCCCGCCGAGCAGGGAGCCCGATGTGGGACTCGATCCCAGGACTCCAGGATCATGACCTGAGCTGAAGGCAGTCGCTTAACCAACTGAGCCACCCAGGTGCCCTGTTTTTTGTTTTTTTTTTAAGATTTTATTTATTTATTTGACAGAGAGATAGAGAGAGAGCACAAGTAGGCAGAGTGACAGGCAGAGGGAGAGGGAGAAGCAGGCTCTCCACTGAGCAGGGAGCCGGACGTGGGGCTCGATCCCAGGACCCCAGAATCATGACCCGAGCAGAAGGCAGTCGCTTAACTGATTGAGCCACCCAGGCACCCCTGAGTGGTTGGTTTTTAAAATGTAGGTTTAGAAGAAAAAATATTTAATTGGAATTTGATTTGGTGAATGATGGGAGTGGTATTTAAAAGCATTTGCCCTCTAAACTGTCATAATGCCTTTTATACATCACATTATTCCCCCTTTTTTTTCTTATTATTTTGTTCCTTAATATAGCCGTGATTCACACACATTGAAATTTTATAAACTATTAAAAACTTAAACACAGTTGTAGTCTAAATAAGACAGGTACATTTTTGTTTGTTTTTAGCACTGTTGTTTAGAAAAGTAAAAAGTGTCACCCTTATTTCATAAGCTGTAAGATAGTCTAAGTCTCTCAAAAAGGAAGAGAACATTGTCACAGAATGCATGCAGCCTTATACATTGAACACATTTAGCATATAAAGACTGCATTGTCTTTTTAAAAAAATTTTATTTAAATTCAATTAGCCAACACATAGTACATCATTAGTTTCAGATGTAGTGTTCAATAATTCATCAGTTGCATATAACACCCAGTGCTTGTCACATGACAGGCCCTCTTTAATGCCCATCACGCAGTTCCCTTATCCCCCCACCCACCTTCCCTTCCACAACCCTCAGTTTGTTTCCCACAGTTAAGAGTCTCTCATGGTTTTTCTTCCTGATTTCTTCCCATTCAGTTTTCCTTTCCTTCCCTTACGGTCCTCTGCACTGTTTCTTGTATTCCACATATGAGTGAAAGCATATGATAATTGTTTTTCTCTGATTTAATTCTTTCACTTAGCATAATACCTCCAGTTCCATCCACATCGATGTAAATGGTAAATATCCATCCTTTCTGATGGCTAAGTAATATTCCATTGTATATATGAACCACATCTTCTTTATCCATTCATCTGTTGAAGGACATCATGGCTCTTTCCACAGTTTGGCCATTATGGACATTGCTGCTAGGAACATTGGGGTGCAGTTACCCCTTTGTTTCACTACATCTGTATCTTTGGGCTAAATACCCAGTAGTGCCATTGCTGGGTCATAGGGTAGCTCTATTTTTAACTTCTTGAGAACCTCCATGCTGTTTTCCAGAGTGGCTGTACCAGCTTGCATTCCCACCAACAGTGTAAGAGGGTCCTCACCAACATTTGTTGTTTCCTGACTTGTTAATTTTAGCCATTCTGATTGGTGTAAGTTGGTATCTCATTGTGGTTTTGATTTGTATTTCCCTGATGCCAAGTGAACATTTCTTCATGTGTCTGTTGGTCATTTGTATGTCTTCTTTGGAGAAATGTCTGTTCATGTCTTCTGCCCATTTCTTAACTGGATTATTTGTTTTTCTGGGTGTTGAGTTTGATAAGTTTTTTATAGATCTTGGATACTAGCCTTTTATCTGATATGTCATTGGCAAATATCTTCTCCCATTCCATAGGTTGTCTTTTAGTTTTGTTGGTTGTTTTCTTTGCTGTGCACAAGGTTTTTACCTTGATGAAGTCCCAAGAGTTCATTTTTGCTTTTGTTTCCTTTGCCTTTGGAGACGTGCCTAGCAAGAAGTTCCTGCGACCGAGGTTGAAGAGTTTGCTGCCTATGTTCTCCTCTAGGATTTTGATGGATTCCTGTCTCATATTTAGGTCTTTGATCCATTTTGAATTTATTTTTGTGTATGGTGTAAGAGAATGGCTCAATTTCATTGACTGCATTGTCTTTTAAAAAAAGAGTTATTAGATAAAAAAAAAAAAAAAAAAAGAGTTATTAGAAATGAATCAGCCAGAGTCTTGCAGGGACAGACCTAGAGTGTGACAAAATCAGATTTGCTGACTTTCAGCAAGGGAGTGAGTTCTAGAGGAATGGTGGAGGAGGAGGAGAGACTTTGCAAGTTTAGGCCCCATGTGAAGGATTCTAAAGGGAGTTGAAGGAAAGCAGGGACAACTTCTGGATTGCTTGTTGTTTCCAGTGCAAGATTAGAAGAAGTAGGTTTAGCCAGGGTTGGGTACTGGCATGAGGTAAGGGTAGTTTAGCAGTTAGGCCACCCTAGAAGTAAAAGGGTACAGCAGAGAGGATCTGGGGGTGTCATCGATGATAAAGCAATAGTCACTCAAAGAGGTGACATTTTATAACTGCTACACTGCCTTGGGAGCAGTAGTGTCTCCTTTTAACTTTTCAGGTGGTTTTAATCTGTGTCTATCTAATGGCAGGACTGGTTTTTCTTTTTCAATCAAGCTAATTTCCATTCTTGAAGTCTTGAACAGGTTTTCAGTCATTACAAATTTTTACTATGGATTCACAAAAACTTCACCTCAGTATCAGTAGATCTTGACCAGTGTTGGAGAATGCAATGATGAGTTTGATTTTCAGGCTATTATTGGTTACATTGTGTTATCTATTCATTCTTGTACTATAGTAACAGTTAACTTAATTATTTTATCTTTCTGTTTTAATTGTGCTTGTTTCCCCTTTTTCTAGATATGATAGCAGGTTTCTAGTTTTTTATTCTATTTTATTTTATTTTATTTATTTATTTTTTAAAGATTTTATTTATTTATTTGACAGAGAGAGACACTGTGAGAGAGGGAACACAAGCAGGGGGAGTGGGAGAGGGAGAAGCAGGCTTCCTGCAGAGCAGGGAGCCCAATGTGGGGCTCGATCCCAGGACCCTGGGACCATGACCTGAGCCGAAGGCAGATGCTTAATGACTGAGCCACCCATGCGCCCCTTTTTTATTCCATTTTAGTATCTGTTAAGCTAGGTTGCTTTCTCAGCCTTTTATTGCCTGTGTTAAAGAATTATTTGCTTTGGTATTCCTAAGCAATATTGTCTTTTTTTGGAATGATGGAGTGTCTATTTCCTTTCTTCTATTAGCTTGAGAGATATATACTCTTTTACTGGAAGCTCAAGGGTTTATAATATTCATATTTGATTTTTCAACAACTAATTCTTTCTTGTACTTTTACCCACTTTATAATGTAAAGACATTAGAATGCTTTGTCTCTAGTTATTTCTCTCTTAATTTGTATGCTATTGTTATGTATTTTAATTCTAAATAACAAGACTATTATTGTTCTGGAAACTTTCTTTCTGCATGAAGAACACATTTTTTAATTTTCTGTAGTGTAGATTTGCTGGTGACAAAGTTCTCAGCTTTTGTTTATCTGAAATGTCTTAATTTTCCTTTTATTTGTGAGGAATGTTTTCACTGGTATAGAATTCTAGGTTGGCAGGTGTTTTAGCATTTTGAAGATAATGCCACTGCCTTCTGGTTTTCAGTCTCCATTGTAAAGTCAGCTCTCCGTTTAACTGATACTCTCTAGAGGGCCGTGTATCCTTTTCTGTAGTTGCTTTGAGGACTTGAAGGCTTTCCTTTGTTTTTTCTTTTCAAATAGATATTCTTTTTATTATTATTATTATTATGTTATGTTAATCACCATACATCATTAGTTTTTGATGTAGTATTCCATGTTTCATTGTTTGCGTATAACACCCAGTGCTCCATGCAGAATGTGCCCTCTTTAATACCCATCACCAGGCTAACCCATCCCCCCACCCCCCACCCCTCTAGAAACCTCAGTTTGTTTCTCAGAGTCCATCGTCTCTCACGGTTCGTCTCCCCCTCCAATTTCCCCCCCTTCATTCTTCCCCTCCTGTTATCTTCTTCTTCTTTTTTTTTAACATATAATGTATTATTTGCTTCAGAGGTACAGGTCTGTGATTCAAGTCTTACACAATTCACAGTGCTCACCATAGCACATACCCTCCCAATGTCTATCACCCAGCCACCCCATCCCTCCCACCCCCCACCACTCCAGCAACCCTCAGTTTGTTTCCTGAGATTAAAAATTCCTCATATCGGGGTGCCTGGGTGGCTCAGTCGTTAAGCGTCTGCCTTCGGCTCAGGTCATGATCCCGGGGTCCTGGGATCGAGCCCTGCGTCGGGCTCCCTGCTCTGCGGGGAGTCTGCTTCTCCCTCTCTCACTCCCCCTGCTTGTGTTCTCTTTCTGGCTGTCTCTCTCTGTCAAATAAATAAAATCTTTAAAAAAAATTTAAAAATAAA